ACTATTTATTTTTAATTATAGACTCATAAGATTAAAGACTCACAAGAATTTCCAAAAATAGTGCGTAGAGGTCCTATGTACCCATCACCTAGCTTCCCCCAGTGGTGACATTAGACTAATTTTTAAATCATTGATGGACCTTCTCTGTACTCTATAATAAGCCTGATTTTTTTAGCTATTAACTGTCTTTAAAGAAATATCATCCATATTGTACCTGATCCTCTTTAGCTTTCAGAATTATAAAGTGTTGTGTAGAGATCATTATGTCACTATTGCTTTATGCTTTAGTACATTCTTCTCCATTCTGCCCATTTTCAGATTGTACCATCGACTGGGAAGGAATTATGTCTCATATGTACCTTCCTGGTACATTTCTCCCCAGCAGTCTAATAAAAAGATATGTAAACTCCATTTTACTCCTTATATTGAAGAAACATATTTAGTTGAATATTTAGATTTCTTGTTTTGACTTTATTTTAGTGGTGTTTGAAAACTCGAGAGGTTTTATTTTTTTTATATCATCTCTTCTTTCTTTTTCCTCCTAGCCTGAAAATGAAATTTCTTCAGACTGCAATCATGTAAGTATGGATTTTCTGTAATACACCATATATGCTTTATAGATACGATGACAGATTTTGGGATGCTTTTCCTGTTGTCCTAGGAAGCATTATGTTTTCTTAAATTCTCTTAATCTTAAAGGGATGGTAAACTTTGTTTAAGAACCACAGTAAAATCTACAGATACCCCTTCATTATAGAATTCTGCAAATTCTGCCACATATTTATGTATTTAAGGTTAAAATTTTCTTCAGTTAAGCTACCATATGAAAATAATTAGCTCTCTGCTTATCAAGTTTACTTTAGAATTCCATGTTTTAAAGTTCTTTCATTTAATCATCATACAGTCATCTTCTATGTGCCAAACAGTGTGGTTACGCGTTAAAAGGAGACTGATGTGAAATCAAGTTTGTGCAAAAAGTATTAGGTACTTTGACTTTGGTAGAAGTCTAGAGTACCGTGGGGACGCACAAGTGAATTTGTTCAGGTGAGTTGATGTTGGGAAAGGCTTATAGTGGAGATACTGCTTGAGCTGGGTCTTAAAAGAAGCATAGATATGCATATGGCAGAAATCATTATCACAGAGTGGAAGATACATTGGACAGGGGACTGCAAAAACACAGGGGCAGTGTGGCTATTTAGGTTAACTACTTATTCTAAAGAAAATCTAGGTAGGTCAGAGTGTTAAAGTATAAAGTAAACCGTAAGAGTACTAAAAGAAAACATGAACAGAGGGAGTCTTTTCTTAACATGACACAGCCCCAAAATATGTTAAGATACATATGTGATTACATTTAAAAAACTGTCTCCAAAGCAAGTATTGTAAGTTATAAAAGAGAATTGGCAATGCAGATGAAAAAGACTACACTTATTAATAGAAAGTGCTGTTAATAAACGTAGACAGCAGGTATGAATGGACTGTTCACAGGAAACATAAACAATGTCCAGTAAACAACAAAGCAGTTGATTCTTCCTCATAAAGCATGAAAATTCAAAGAAAAATGAATATATGGTTTTAATCCATTTGATTAACAAATATCAAAAATTAATAAATGCATAGTATTGGTAAGGATATGTATATTTAAGCATTTTCTAGCATTCTCTAGGCCACGATTCAGCAAACCTACAACACATGGGCCAAATTCAGTCTCCTGTGTGTTTCGAGACAGGGTCTCACTTGTTGCCCAGGCAGTGGAGCCATCATAGCTCACTGCAACCTCAAACTCCTGGACTCCAGCCATCCTCCTGCCTCAGCCTCCCAAGTAGCTGGAACTACATCCAGCTAATTTTTCTATTTTTGTAGAGATGGGGTCTCACGATGTTGCCCAGGCTGGTCTCTAACTCCTGATCTCAAGTGATCCTCCCACCTCAGGCTCCCAAAGTTACTTCCTGTTTTTATCATAAAGTTTTATTAAAACAATTACATCCACTTATTTATATATTTTCTGTGGCTGCTTTCCATGCTAGGGTATCAAAGTGGAGTAATTGCAACAGTGACTATAGATCCTTCAAAACCTAAAATATTTACTTTCTGGCTCTGTGCAGTAAAAGTTTACTGGACCCTATTATATCCTATGGACGAAAATATGTATAAGATATAAAACAGTCAATTGAAAATGCATGTATAAAAATTTATGTATAGTTATATTTAAAAGGGTATGTAGAGATGTGTCTATAAAAGGGTATTTATTGTGATATCATTTATAAAGCAAAAGATTAGGGGGGAACCTCAAAATAAATTAATAGACTGAATCTGACAGAGGGGAAACCCAGAATAAAGCTGATGTGTGCCTTATAACCTTGAAAGAGCTTGAGAAGAGGAAGGATATGATACTGCTGAAAATGGGGACAAATAGTACACAGAAGACAGGAGAATTGGTTGGAAGTCTATAAGAAGCAGTGAGGACTTTTTAGAGAACAATTACGTAACTCAGCTTCTACAATGTATCGTACAAAATGTCCAGCATGCAGGCAGAAATGGCTGGGTATGAGAAGTAGCAGTCAGGTATGATCAATAATCAAGAGATAACAGCCAATAGAAGGAGATCCAGAGATAATTCGTATATCAAAATTAACAGACAAGGACTTGAAATAACTATGACTTTATGTTAAATAAAACAGAGGAAAAGATAGTAAAAATGATTAAAAAGATGATGTATTTCAACAGAGAATTAGAATTTGTTAAGAAAATCAAATGAGTGTTTTAGAACTATAAAATGTGATTTCTGAAATTAAGAACTTGGTAGTTTTTAAAGACAGGATTAGTGGACATGCAGACAGATCCATAGAAAATATCTAAACTGCATCAGAAAGAGAAAAAGATGTTTAAACAAAACAAAACACTTAATAATGTGGGAAACAGTCAAAATGTCATATATGTGTTTTTGGAGTCCAAGAACTAGAAGATGGAAGAGGATAATAGTCGTATTTGAAGAAATAATGGCCAAGTATTTTTCCAAATTTAATGGGAGGCATTAACCCACAAAGTTAGCAAATTCAGTGAACCCCGAGAGATTTATGCTAAGTGGAAACACTTAGACATTATTAACAAATTGCTGAAAACAAAAGGTAAAAAGAAAACCAGGCCAAGTACAATAGCTCATGCCTGTAATCCCAGCACTTTGGGAGTCCAAGGAGGGAGGATGGCTTGGGGCTTAGAGTTTGAGGCCAACCTGAGCGGGATGATCTCTTGAGCTCAGGAGTTCGAAACCAATCTGAGCAAGAGTGAGACCCCATCTCTACTAAAAATAACAAAAATTAGCCAGGCATGGTGGCATGTGCCTGTAGTCCCAGCTACTCTGGAGGTTGAGGCAGGAGGATCGCTTGAGTCCAGGAGCTGGAGGTTGCAGTGAGGTGTGATGATGCCACTGCACTCTAGCCAGGGTGACAGAGTGAGACTCTGTCTCAAAAAAAAAAAAGTCTAAGGAAAATATCCAAAGTGATGTAAAATAAAGACATTTTAGACGTGCAGTTTTCCCAAACATTTACAACCCATGCATAATTTACATAAAGCTCCTGGAGGATGTGCTTCAACAAGATCAGGGAATACACCAAGACAGAGAAAGATAAAGAATCTAATAATTAATGATTCAGCCTAAAGGAAAAGCAAAGGAAATTCTAAGGATGCTGGTGAGGGATGACACCTGTGCGGAGGCCTAGAAAACAGCCAGTCCTGATCGAGGCAGGAAAATGAAAAGACTCCAAGAAGAACGTCTCACCTGATAGATTGCCTGATGGATCTGGACATTTTAAAAAGAGATTGATCTTTTAGTAAAGAGATTGAGGATTAATTAGTAATGGATATGTAGAAAAATAGCCTACGAATAAGTGACTGTTAACTATAGTATAAACTAAAAGTTGTATAGGAAAAGAAATAGGTTCTATGTGGTTCAGTATATATAACTATTTGCATAGTAATGTGTTAATAAATACTGAATATCTAACAACATTATGGCTTAACTATGTTGGGAGGATTGGGATCAGGAAGAAGGGTATAAGTTCATTCCTTGTCTTCTATATTGTAAGTTATATCTAAAACTGACAAATCAAGAAATAGCAATTTAAGTGTCTAGTTTAAAAATACGGAGGTAATTACCATAAGCAAAAAGAATTTAAAGTGTGTGCCTCTGGGGAGTGGGTAGGACTCTGGAAAGGGATTTGGCAGGGAACTGCTTGTTTGGTTTGATTTTTTTTTTTTTTTTTTGGTGAGACAGAGAAATTGAAAAAATGTCTCCAGTTTGTGGTAGGCAAAAGAACATAAAAAGCTCTGGTAATGCTGGGCCCAAACACCCAGCTGTGCAAGGGACCCCATAAGTCAAGAAAGCGGGTGGGGTTGCAAGCAGGTCATTTCTCTCCGATTATTTAGCACTCAGTAAACCACCAGCTGTGTCAGCTCTCCTGTCACTTGAGTTTACTGTTTTACTCTAATGATTCTATTTCCCACATCAGATTGTCAGTTCTCTAAGACACATTTTTATCATTTTTGTAACTAACGTACAGCCACTGTATGGAGCTGCTACCCTGGCTGGGAGTTCCATTAACTCTGGCTGGTGGCTAACGCCTATAGCTGTGGTGACATTTGCTGGGACAGCAGTCCTTAAGCAGCTCTGATGGTGGCACTTACCCTTGGGTGGACATTAAAGCCCCTTGGGTATTTAAAAAATACTGATGTGTGGTCTCACCACTAGAGATTCTGATTTGTTCTGGGAAGAGGCCCGGGCATTGGTATTTGTTAAAAGCTCCCTCGGTGATTCTTTGAAATGTGCAGCCAGAGTTGAGAACCATTGATCCATGAGGAGGACAATACTAGAGATGGAGAAGAGGAACAATTATTTGATGAAGGGAAGTCTAAAAACATTTTGCAAGCCATTGTCGAGACATATTTTTTTTCATTTTTATTTTTAGAGATGAGATCTCACTCTGTTGCCCAGGCTCAGTGGCATCATCACAGCTCACTGCAGCCTCAAACTCCTGGGCTCAAGCAATCCTCCTGCCTCAGCCTCCTGAGAGGCTGGGACTACAGACATGCACCATGCCCAGCTAATTTTTAGTAGAGATGGTGTCTCATTCTTGTTCAGGCTGGTCTCGAAATCCTGAGCCCAAGTGATCTTCCCTCCTTGGCCTCCTAGAGTATTAGGATTACAGGTATGAGCCACTGTGCCCGGCCCCGTTTTGATTTTTTCTTTTTTTTTTTTGAGACAGAGTCTCACTCTGTTGCCCTGGCTAGAGTGAGTGCCGTGGCGTTACCCTAGCTCACAGCAACCTCAAACTCCTG